AACAAGCAAAATATTTCATTTCAAACAGAACAGAGATGAGACAGGCTGTCTCTATAGAGAATTCTTGGTGCGTTAAAGGCTTTTTGAAGCTAATAGAGATGAGAAATGAGTAATATGGAAAATTGTCTCCTGGAGGATATCTCTGTGTGGTCTCTTTTTGTATACAGCATGAATGAAGGTAAACCTTTGTGATCATTTGTATTTATATATAAAAGAAGGAAGGCATTGTGCTGAAAATCATACCCTGCATTTAAACTGGGAAGTGTATCAACATTGGCTTCAAGCAGGCAGTACAAAACCCTGAGTAGTTGGCACCTAATTAGCCAAAATGCCATTCAGATTAATCAGAAATGTGAAGCAGAGCATTAAATATCACAGCTTGGTTAGATCGCTAACCAAGAACTGTGGAGAGGAAAAGATGTTGCAAGAGAAGTGATAAACAGAATGCTATCACACAATTGTAGTGATGTGCACATAAAGCTGACTTTACAATTCAGTTGAACTAAAGAAGAACCTCAGATTAAGATTGCTTCCATGTTAATATTTTCAATCATTCTTATCCTTTATTCATCCACTTTCTAATGGCAAAACTAGATAATATTGTTACAGAGCCTGGGACATTGTTTGTTTGGTTTTTTTTTGGTTGTTTTAAAAAGTAATACATTACTCATTTTCATTGTTATCCACACACACACATACACACACAAGTGGATCATGCACATTATTCATTATTTTATTTTTAAATAAATTTTTATTCAGATTTTCAGTTACTATTTTACATAAAAGGAAAAAGGAAAAAAGGAAGAAGAAAGAAAATGAATATATATTAGGGAGAAAAAGAGGGAGAAAAAGAGGGGGGGGAAATATAGCTGTTATTTGACTTACACTCTAGTCCTTTGTAGTTTTATTCTTTCTTTTCTTTTGTTTCCTTTCAGGAATATTTGTCCGTTCTCCTATTACCTTTTATCAAATTTCAGGGCTCAACTTTTTACCAATGATCTTCTCTTCTAGTTTTTTATGTAGTCCATGAAAAGTCTCCAATCTGTTCATTTTATTGGTTTGTAGGCAAATAAAAAACTTTTAAAAGATAAAAATGGCCCCGAAATGACCTCACAATTCTCCTTATTTTAGATGTATGTTCCTGGTACAGCAGGATTAATAACAGTAACAATTCAACTCATTATCTAATTTAAAATAACGCTTACAGATAACATCACTATTTGTAACATATTCTTTTCAACTTCTGTGGTGTTGGCACTTTGGTGTGTTCCTCCTGGGGTGGACCTTCCTAATTGGTCCTCCATCTCTGCAGAAGTTTAGAGCCCTAGTGAGTCTAAATCTAACCAGGTGGTGATCGGTCAATGACAAAGAAACTTTCCACCAAGTTCCTCCACTATACCATCACTCTCATCCCATCCTGAACAGAAGACCAAGTCTAATGTGTGTCCAGCACTATGGGTGGGGCCAGATACCATTTGGGACAGATTCATGGTTGCCACAGCGGGCAACCAGTAAGGCAGTCTTGGCATGACTGTTTCCCAGCACTATTGGCCATTGGGACTCCAGCACCAGGCCCGAGACTTTCCTGGTTAGCCTAGGCAGGGAGACTGTTGAGGAGCCAGGTGGACGGTACACCAACAGAATCCCTGTTCTATCCCAGACGTTCACCCTTAAATAGACACATCCAAATGTAGTGATTCTCAGTGATTGCTCTGGAACTCCCCAGAAAGCTAGGGGAGTCTTCCTTGCTATCTTTTTGTAGATGTGGATATTTGAATGTGGCTATTTGAACAAGTCTTTGAAATCTAGTGAAATAGACAAACATGGAATTATGTGAAATTGAATATTGGAACGGCTCAGATGATAATTTTGGACAACGAGGCTAACAGTGAAGGTATTTTATATATTGGCTTTATATGTGCATTCTGCATTTCCGTAGGGTCCATTTGTTTGAGGTGGTCTCTGCTCCAGAGTTGCAAGTTTCAGAGAAGCCATTCTCTTTCAGCCCCCACAATAACGATTTAACCAAAGTTGGACAGTCTTATATTAAATTACAGTTTTATGTAAATATTTTTAAAAAATCAACCTACTGATGCTTCAATCAATGTAATTTTATTGGTATCTATTTTTATTTTGAAATTTACCAGTAGCTGCTGCATTTCCCACCCTCGGCTTATACTCAAGTTAATGAGTTTTCCTAGTTTCTTGTGGTAAAATTAGGTGCTGGCTTATATTTGGATTGACTTATACGAATATGTATGATAATTTGTTGATGGGTAGCTTTTCATTATGACCTTAGGAGGTTTTAATTCCCTTGGGTTGAATAGTTTATAATTTGGCAATTTTTAACATTTTTGTTCCTGTTTTATTGCAAACTAACATTATGTCATGATTTTAAAATCATAATAACACTGCAAGACAACCAGTTATTAAAGCAATTAAGAGGCTGTGCCACTGTCAACAGGAGGCAATAAATCAGGACCTGCTAATAGGACACTTGTGACTGAGTATGGATTGGGTTTTTTTTCTGAATAGAACTCTTGTACGTTGTAATTAAAGGAAAATTTCGGTCAGGAGGAAAGGTGCTGCTGAACAATATCTTCCTATATTGATGATATGCTATGCTGACTATTGTACATGAGAAACATGATATGTCATTATACATGACATATCATGTTTCTCATTTTTAACTCTACAAATTTCAATTAATTATAGGAAAGGGTTAGGGTTAGGGTTAGGAAAGCTTCATTCGTCTGAAAAGACTTAAGTCTCTGGCTAAGGCAGTAGGACTGAGGCCTCATCTACATATGCTGTAAAATCCAGAATATGTGATTATAGAGTAGCTGGGGTGGCTATAAAATGCACGCCCCTAATGCACTCTGCAATACACATCCACATGGAAACACATGTTTAAAAAGTCAGGAGAAAGTCTGAAATCAGTGATAAAATGCATTGAAGATGCAGAGCAGAAATTCAGGAGGAGAATGCGCTGCACTTGTGTAAACAGAGCCACCTCTGGAAAATTCAGATAAAGGAACCAGATACAGCACTTGTTGGAAAGTAAACAAACACCTTTTCAGTCCTTGCCCAAGAAGAAATCACTTTCCCCTTTTTATTTTTGATTTGGAAGATGAGCTCCATTGCTGATTCTCATCCGATGCTATGCTGCAATCCAGAGCATTTTTCCAAAGGGAGTATGAAAAAAAAAAGTTCTGTTGGATAGATTTGGTATGAGAGTATCTTTGTGGAGACCACAAGAGCTTTTCATGTTTCCCAGCCTGTGTGTGGAGCCCCTCTGGAGTGGAATTGGATTTCTTTAATTCACATTGCGATCCAGATTACATGCCTGTGTAGAAGCAGCCTGAGATACAATTGCTTAAGTGCCTCAGACATCATGCTCATCAGTATGAATGATTTGGGTATGTGACTTTCAGGATTAATTTTGCTGCAGAGGGCAAAAGACAAAATGATTTCCCATTCTATACGGTATATATATAGAAGACAACTGGAAGGGTAAATTAAACATTTTTAACGCCAACAGCGGGGAAAATATAACCTGCCACCCATAAGGTAGCAGATGAATTTGAAATGCAAGACAGAATGTGTGACATACTTAACTCTTCTCTCTAACAGAGAGGAGCAGATAGAAATCTGCTACTCCAGAAGGTTATTCAGCCTGAAACAGCCACTTCACATTAGCCCTCATCACACTAGAGAATGAATCCACTTTAAATCTGGTTGCTGCCTTGTGCAGAATTCTGGGGTTTGTAGTTTAGGGAGGAGCCTTTAACAGCTTCACTAAACTACAAACTCCAGAATTCGGCAGGAAGCAGAAACCTGATTTAAAGTGGATTAATTCTCTAGTGTGATGAAGTAAACAAGTGTCTAATTATTGGGCCAGTTCTGGTAATTTATAGACCCAGCCCGGCTAACTTCATTGCTTTCCCAATCTAGTAAATCCACCCCACACTTCATTAGAGTGGACTATAATATAAATCATGCTCACTAGAGTCCCAGAATATGTCTTGCATCCAAAAGAATGTTAAATAATTATATGAAGAAAAGTCTGACATATATACACAGGATAAGCCCATCCAGACAACAATTTTAGCACTGCTTCCTTGAGATGTGATCTTTCTGTGAAAGTACGTAGTTTGAGGAAAATGAGTATACCTCCATACACCAATGTACATACTAAGCTTTTAACATTTAAGGAGAGTCTGGCCTATTTATGCTAGGAATCTCCAAGTTGTTTCAGGAAGAAATCCTGCTTGAAACCATGGATAGCCAATCAGAGCTGACAATACAGGGGCAGATGGAATAGTGGTTAGATACTATGTAAGGCTGCTTCCTAGGAAATCCTTCCTATCACTTGGTAGGATTATGTAGGTGGGCAAGACATGTATGGGGAAATGCATACATGATAGCTACAACTTGACATTCAAACTGGTTCTGTATTTCTTTCACTATTACACTATTACATTCATCTTAATATTCAGTATATATTCCACTGTCATTTTAAATCAGGGGTCCTCAAACTAAAGCCCAGGGGCCAGATATGGCCCCCCAAGGGTCAACATCAGTCTGAAATTACTTGAAAGCACACAACAATCTGTTGGATAGATTTGGTATGAGAGTATCTTTGTGGAGACTGGAAGAGCTTTTCATGTTTCCCAGCCTGTGTGTGGAGCCAATGTTTGTCCTATCTCATCAGCCAAAAGCAGGCCCACACTTCCCAATGAAATACTAATAAGTTTATATTTGCTAAAATTTATCTTCATTTTAATTATTGTATTGTTTTAAAGTGGGGGGGGGGGTTTGTACTACAAATATGATATGTGCAGTGTGCATAGGAATTCATTCATGTTTTTTTCAAATTATAATCAGGCCCTCCAACAGTTTGAGGGACTGTGACCAGGCCCTCTGCTTAAAAAGTTTGTGGACCCCTGTTTTAAATGAACTGATATTTTAAGGAGTGTGGGTAAAGCATCAATTATTACCTTTGCAGTTGCCCCGGTAGGCAATATCTAGCTGAGGATCTTTGCATTTTGCCCGTAGAAATTCGCAACGGGATAGGAATGTCCTGCCATCTGAAGCACACAGAGACTTCTGAGGGGATCCTGTACACTCCAAGCTGCATTCTTTGTCCTTGTCTTGCTCCACTCGTAAAAACTTCAACAGATCAAAGCAAAATAAAGTCAGAGTTTGGAGTGTATTATACACAAAAAGCTGTCAAATTACTGATGCAATATCTAGTAGGCCTGGGTAACAACGCAAAAATTTGTTTCTAAAATCAATTTGTATTTGGGTTTCGATATTTAAAATAATTACACAATTTTCCTTTGAAAAAGTTCAGTATTTACGAAATTTCATTAATTTCATTAATTTCGTTTTTAGAATATTTTTTGAATTTTTTTGAAATATTTATTTATAAATATTTTTTGAAATATTTAAAAATGGAAAATTAACAATGCTTGCCCTGTTGTGGAGCGAACACAGCCACAGGACAGGGACAAACTCACACACACAGGCACACAAGGGTCTTTTCTTTTTTTAGAATATTTTTTGAATTTTTTGAAGAATAAAAGAAAGATATTTTTCAGAAATATTTAAAAATGGAAAATTAACAAGGCTTGCCCTGTTGTGGAGCGAACACAGCCACAGGACAGGGACAAACTCACACACACAGGCACACAAGGGTCTTTTCTTTTTTTAGAATATTTTTTGAATTTTTTTAAGAATAAAAGAAAGATATTTTTCAGAAATATTTAAAAATGGAAAATTAACAAAATGCTTGCCCTACCCTGTTGTGGGCGAAAACAGGGCAAAGCCTCCCCGCTGCTCCCAGCAATGAATGAATGAATGAATGCAAGCACAAGCAATGAATGAATGAATGAAAGCAGCCACAGCCAGCAACGCTTTAAAGCCACCCGCACCTCCCGGCTCCTCGCCTCAGCCCAGACTGAGCAATGCGGCCACGCGGAGCCGCTTTTAAAGGGCAGCCCGCCCAATCAGAAGGAGACACGGTGCTTGGGAGCGCCGGATTGGCTCCCGGCGCACCCAGCATCCTTCCATCATTAAACGTCATTTCCGAAACGGGCAGAAGCTCGTAAAAAAGATGGAGGATGCTGTTTTGCTATTAAAAAACACTTCCGGGTTTGAAAATAAGTTTTGTAATCGTTTTGTAATTGTTAAAAATAACGAATATTTAACGAATTACAAAATTAACGAACGAAACCGCCCAGGCCTAATATCTAGGTACAATGGAGAGTAATTCTCCTTGAAATGGTGAGCATGAGATCATCTTCGGCTAGACAAACTAATACTGTGATATACTAACAAGCTGAGGTGGAGTAAAGCAATACATAAATAATACATCAAGAAAGAACGGTGCCTAGATGAATATGTGAATTGGCCCCCAAGTACTAGCAATTATAAGGATTATTGGAGTCCAGGGTAATATGCAATGGCTGTTTAATCTCAAACCGATATTTGCACTGGTTAAATGTTAATATACCTGGTGTCTGGCATACAATATACAGCCAAACATTACTATTTAGTGCAAAGACATACACTGATGTACATATCCAATACAATGCTGAGGAAGTCATCCTCAACACCCTTTTTCCAATCAGGCACAGTGCCCATAGATAAAAACAGACATTGCATTTAGTTACCATGGCTATAGGATGTATATGATTTTAATACAGAATAATCCTTGAACCTTGTAATATCAGTAATAGGATCCATTGAAAGTGTAATTAGTTTTTATACCTTGTTATTACTTCAACTATATATGAGCAAAGGGGCATTTTATTTCACAATTCTCCGTGATGACACATAAGATGTATTTTCATTTTATGTTTGCAGGAAAATATTTTTTTCTGTTTCAACTTGCAAATAAAGCTATGAAAGGTATGCTGTCAGAAGTAGATAATCACTGAAAGGCACAACAAATGGTTCTTAGAAAGCACCATAAGTCAGACAACATACTAATCTTTTCCCATTATTAATATCAAACCGACATGCAGGCTGACATTATTATTGCTATAATTGTCATATACATACAGCAATAGGGCTGAGAACGGCGGTCTACAAATGCAGTAAATAAATAAATAAATAAATTCTAATTTGCAGAAAGTTTTACAATCTTATTTTTTTGTGTTTATCATCACAGCTACTCAAGGAAGTCATTCACTGCTTTTTATTCCCCTTTTGCGAATAAAACACTGAAGATATAATATTAACCAATCCATAAATCAGAGATGGTCAAAGTCCACATGCAGTCCACAAACTGTTTATACAACACTCAACCCTTCTGAATTCCACTCTACCTATTTTCTGTACCCCAATGTATGAATTGGCTTTCCTGTAAGCCTTCAGGAGCAGTAGCTCACCTTTTAAAACAGGTTGCGACCCAATAGATCAATCCTATAAGTTTTTATACCAGAAAAGGATTTCTGTCCATTTCCAGATTTTTGTTGTTGTTGTTCATTTATTTATTTGGTCTTTTTTGAAAGTATGAGCAGTCCAAGGGAGATTCTGAGTGAAAGAATTGCCCTCAAGCCCATCAGTGCTGCCCTCCTCTGCCTTAAATAGAGGTATATCCAGTTCAAATAAATTGGAATGCCAAATTCTTCTCTGAGTAAAAACTCAAAAGATAAATGCCTAATTTTGCACCAAACCACCATACTCATTTGACAGGGAAGAAGTTCTATGTGCCTAATATTTAGTAAGCATGTCAGTAACATCTTGGTGAACATTTAATTTTTATTTTAATATTATTTGAATTGTATGTTGCTCTAAGGCAGTGTTTCTCAAACTGTGCATCCCCGGGTGTTTTGGCCTACAACTCCCAGAAATCCCAGCCAGTTTACCAGCTGTTAGGATTTCTGGGAGTTGAAGGCCAAAACATCTGGGGACTCACAGGTCGAGAACCACTGCTGTAAGACATTGAATAATTGCCTATATGTAAGTCGCCTTGAGTCCCCTTCAAGGGTGAGAAAGACAGGGTAGAAATACGTTAAATAAATAAACAAAACATTAAAAGGCATCAACACATGTTTTAGTATAATCAGAAATCCACTGGAAGAGCTGGCAATCTCATGATATTCCTAGGTTCAAGCCAAAACGTTTTTGTTTATTGAATGTTGTGTCATTGGATTGATTTTCTGAGGCAACGAATAAATACAATTTTCTACCTTATTATGAGCACCCCTCTTATTGTTCACATTGCAACTGCTCACTGTACTCTCCTAGTATAAATGACAAATATTTTCACATATTGATCCTATAATTATTTTCCCAAGACAATATGAATTCCCCAGTTATCCCTCTTTTTCATCCATGGAAGCCTATGGTTCTTAACTTGTGGGTCCCTAGCTGTTTTGGCCTTCAACTTCCAGAAATCCTAACAGTTGGTAAACTGGCTGGGATTTCTGGGAGTTGTAGGCCAAAACACCTGGGGACCCACAGATTGAGAACCACTGTAAACTCTCTTCCTACATTCTGCTGCCCAATGTCCAAAATCCACTCAAAGATCCAAATTGCTCCCACATCAGCCTAAATATTTCTATTATCCAAGTTTCCTTTTCCATTTAACAAGGTCTATCACCATCAATTTTCTCTGGGATACAAACGTTGGAAAATCATGCTTCCTCAAAATATGACTAATATAAATGAAGCAGAACTGTTGCTACCATTGCAGCCTGTAATAATAACCACTAGTAATTCATTCTATTTGTCATGATCATATTGTTTCTTAGTCCTGGAGATGACTCAGTAACTTTTGTGGGGTAATGTTTCAGGACACATTTGGAAGCTTACTCAGTGGTGTTTTGTTGCTGGACCTTGACCATCCTGAATTAAGGGAACATGAGCAGCTGCTCATGTTCATGTCTTGTTTCCTATATGCCTCCATTTACTAGTAGTTAACTGTAGTTAAGAAGTCTTCTTTGTTTCTATCTTGGGTACGATTATGGATCAACTATCTTGTACATTAACTCATTACATAAGTAAAACTTAAATGTATAAAATCCAATTATTTCATCACATTTACTTGGAAAGAAGACCCTTTGATTTCAATAAAGTATTTGTACCTATTTATTCGATTGGTATTCCACCTTTCTTACTAAATGAGATCCAAACCAGCAACTTCCATGTAGTCGAAATTTGAACTGGATTTCAGGCTACTGTTCAAAGGTCCACATGAACTGATATGTGAATAGTTAATTGTATGTTATTTCACTTTTCACCAAAGTTGAAAATTAACACCCTGCAAAGACTGCTTCTCTTTTGCTCAGTGAATCCTATGACTATGTGATGTAAGTCTGCTTCTCTTTTGCTCAGTGAATCCTATGACTATGTGATGCCATCTGAAGCACCTGCTTGAGTTACATAGTAAAAACTCAGACCAGCAGAAGATGGCACAGAGCAAAAGCTAGTTACATTATTGAGTATAAACATTACTAATTTTTCTAGTTGTCCATTTTGTAATTCAATAAAGTTTTACTCCTTTAAAAGAGTATATGGAGCCAGCTTGAAAATCTATTTTCAATATATCTAATTGACAGGGACTACTCATAAGTCATCTGAAAGCCCAGATGTATCTGTGAAGCAGGCCAGAGTTATATCAAGGAGTCCATATCAAATAAGACCTACTACTTGTTGCAACTCAGGGTAGTTTTCACTTTGCTCAAGACACCACCACACACCAAGGCTGTAGGTTTTGTAGTTTATTGAGAAAAAGCAAAATCAAAACAGAGAAATAAAGATGCAAAACAGAGTCTTAAATGCAAAGGCAATGTTCCCAAGATCCAAAGGCAAATAACATGAAGCATAATCCCTTAGCAATGGTCAAACAAGAGTCCATGGTAGACAGGTAACATCAGGATCAAAATCCAAGTCTCAAAGAAGCCAGAAGCGTTCCACAAAAGCCAAGGTAATTCCACAGAAGTTAACAAGGAAAGAGCAACATTGGACTGACAGAAAATGCCTGTAGGCTTCATCATTAAATAAGTTTCCCTGACATGAACACATTGTGTTGACCTTTGGCTTCACATTTTCTGGCAAGGCGTGTGCTTCTGCGAACTCTTAACTGTAAACGATCCTGTCTACTCATTAATTCACTATTATCTTCAAGGCTAGGCAACTCATTATCTTTGCTCAGCTGG